GGATCTTCCTTTTGCCTATGTACAAAGAGCATCGAAAGTGCTGTTCAGAAAGCAGCACATCAATGTAAAAGTAAAGGTTCTCCTTGACATTTAGTCCAGTCATGCCCGACTCTAGGGCGTGGTGCTCATCCCCGTTTCCAAGCCGTAGAGCCAGCATTTGTCCGAAGACAGTTTCTGTGGTCACGTGGCCAGCGCAACTAGACACGGAACACTGTTACCTTCTTACCGTAGTGGTACCTATTTATCTACTCGCATTTTACATGCTTTCAAACTACTAAGTTGGCAGGAGCTGGGACAAGTGACGGGAGAGCACTCCATCGTGTGGATTCGATCTTACGATGGCTGGTTTTCTGACCTTGCAGCACAGAGGCTTCTGCGGTTTAACCTGCTGCGCCACCACATCCCTATCAGCCCATCAATTAGGGATCTCTGTCTTACAAACTCTCCACCCTACTGCAGTCACACACTTTCTAAGTTTTAAGAAACGGCTTAGTATATGAATTTTCTGTTAAGAAAGTTGTTTCTTGTGTTCCTAGTAATGCTTCTTGTTCACTTCAGCAAATCTTACAGGATCTATACATTACTTACTTGGAGGCCCTGATGTTCTTAGACCACACCTCCTACAAGTCTTAAACAGTACAGCAAATGTTCAGGGCTTCTGAGAGTGATAATATAAAAATATCTGAGGCCTCCAGTTTCAGAACCACTGATGTTGGGGGGAAATACCTCATGTGCTTCTTCCCATCTCTGGCAGTAAAACTGAATGTTTAGAAATGTCACTTTTTTCCAATAGCAGTGTTTCAGCTAGAGAATTCTGGGCATTTTGGTCCAGAAAAGTAAAGTTTCTGAGCTCTAATGAAAATATTGTTGCAGAGTTTTGAATTTCTGGTTAAATTCCTTTAGCTGTGCAGCAGAAGTACAGAAATTTACAGAGCAGAATAGCTTCAAGTTCTCCAGAGTAGTCCACCCCTTTTCTCATTAAGTTGGCACTTAACAGTCTCAAAAACTCACTCTGAGACATTAGTAAGAGAAAGAACAAAGTTTTATTACATACACTTGAACAGATCAAACACCAGCTATTGGTTAGTGCTGGATAGATTGCCAGTCACACCACCAGCCAAGTCTGTCAAAGGCAGCATGTGAAGTTGCAAAACAAATAAACAAACACACTAATAGCAAATTAATAATCAATTTGCTTGCCTTTTCATGTAACCCAACCCTACTGCCCAAGACAGGCACCTCTCCTTTACTAAGGAAAGTTAGTACATGAGGCACTTGCATTTTGTGTGATTCTGCTTACCTCATGTTGAACTACTCAGGGCAGCCAAATGTCCTAATTCTGGGCAATCATCCTAACCTAGGGCAGCCAGCCATACTGCAATTATAGTAAGAACAGCTCTGGTTAGTGGTTCAGATCGGGATATGTGGCTGGAAGTCCTTTCAAGCATGGGTCTGGAGCTGATGCAGAACATATCTGAACACACTTGAATGTAGACACAGCGGGAACGCGCACGACGAGTGTCAAAGCTTTAGTGATTCCGACACGTGCTGTGTCATCATCACCACTAGGAATCCAATTCCATTTGATGTTCTTTAAAAACAAAATCCCCATGCTGTTTGTCCAGATTACTGAGCGGCCATCCAGCTGTGAGAAGTAGCTTTCCCCCCCCACCTCCCCCTCATTCTGACCTCATCTGAGTTTGGAATGATTCCAGAGAGTCAGATAGCTCTGCCTCACAGCATCCCCTTGTCAGAAACAAAAGAGGTCAGATTATTAAAGGAGAGAAAGAACTGAGCGTCCCTCATCCAAATAGAGAAAGCAGATGTGCAGTGAGTTTTTTTCAGTGCTCTTTCCAGCTGTAGTACTTTGCATGGGGGGATTTGTTATAAATAGAAGGTACATTGGGGGAATCAGTATAAATATGTACTATCATCACCATAGGAGAGGATCTCACAGCGCTGATTAATTTTCGGAGTAGCATGCATGCAAGATTGCTTTCAGTTTCTAGTACCAGATTTTCATGTGATCGGGCAATGCCATAGCAAGAATTTGCTGTGATCTCTTCTACCAGATGGAACTTTGCAAATGCTGCGTGAGACAGGGAGCTTGCTTCTGTTCGTATCTTTTGGGCACATTGGTTGCTCTAAGCTTAAGACGTGCTCCAATGACGAGCTGTGTTTCTGGGCGAGGAATGAGGTTTGAGACAAATTTTAAAAATGGAGATTGCTTTTGCAGAATAGGATGGGAAGTTGGTGAGTGTTTCTTTTCCCCCGTTGTCTTCAGCGATAAAACTGACTAGCAAAATGTGATTGTTATTCCTGGTGTTGGTTCTGCCAATAGCAAGTAATGCGACTGTCCTTTTGTTTCTGACAAGAAGACTGTCGTTCCTTTTCAAACCCATGGCAATTTACCACGGTGTATGCCACACAGTCTTTTAGGCCCCATAAAGTAGCTTTTGACTTTAGGTGCAGCAAATTACACTATGTCATTGCCATCATTAAAGTAAGATTCATTTATTATCTCATTCAGCTTCTGTGCATGGATCAGGAAGAGGTACCATTATATTCTTAGGATACTTCGGGATGGTGTTGATTATTTAAGTATCATTAACTTCAGTGAAGCAGCTGCCACAAGCAGCCGGTTTTGATAGAGAGAACAAGAAACAAGAGTGTTATTTGTTATTGACGTAATGTATTGGTAAGATCTTTGAAGGCTTTTCTGCCTCATGTGCCCAAGGAAGGTGCTGTCTTTGACAAAAGACTCCTTGAACTGGATGAGGGTCCAGCTGAGATGGCAAGAAGGCTTGGTTTGGCCCTGCCAGGGCTCTTAGAGAGGAAGCAGACAAGGCCTGCTCGGTCATTAGGTGGCCCTGATTTTGAAGAGCATTCACTGGTCACTTGCTTGATGCATTATTAGATATTTTCCCATTGTGGGAGTACCATTTAGGTTTTTTTTAAAAAAACTCTGGCACCAAAATATTTTAGGCCGGTTGTGGGGTGGAGAGAGCGAGAACTTTTTTGTTATAATTAATGAAAAAGGCCATTATGGTTGCTATTTATCCCAAATAAAATATTGGTGGATCCGGACCAGCTACCATGCCCTCCTAAGCAGGCTATGCCACAACTACTGAGCTTGCTCAGCTATCCCTCCTCTGAATGAAGCTTCCTAACTGATCCTGGTCTACTCTCTCTTGTAGCATTGCGATCTACCTCACAGAGTTGTGAGGTACTGTAGTTGTTGAGGGAGTTGGTGTTGAGACGCCATAGGTTCCTCATCTAACAAAGTGAGGCAAATACAGATGAAAGAAATATAAATAAAACATGGTTTGCCCAAGAAGTAACCGTCTTAGAATCTGTACAAAGAGACCAAAACGTTGTAGCACCTTAAAAGCTAACAATTTCTGAGGAAGTCAATTTGGAGCCACGAAAGCTCACATTTAAATATAATTATTTTCGGTGCCACGATGCTTTGGTCTCCTTCCCCCCACCCCGGCTTTGTTTCGTCTGATATCTCCGTGTGCAATACATGTGTCACGTCTTGAAAGACGGCTCGAAGTTGTCTATATGGGCAAAGAGAAACCAGACGTGAGCCTGGTGGGCGAACAAAGTCGAGCAGGCGGAGGCCAGCTTCTCAGGGGCTCTACTTTCCCGCCTCTTTCTGCCGCGCGGGAGGTGCCGCGTTTCCCAGCTCCGCCCTGCCGGGGAAGCCACGGCGCTAGGACCGGGCAGCTAGCCCCCCCCCCGGCAGGGGTTTGCCCGCACAGCGCGTGTGGGTTGGCGGGGCGGCGGCGGAGCGGGTCGAGTTGCACCGGGCCAT